CAAACCCTAATTTTGGTCATCAGGGCATAAGGAGGTGTCTTGAGCTGATCAAACCCTAATGCAGTCTTGAGCCCAAGGAGATCTTGTGGGAAAATTCTTGATAAGTGAGAGGGAAAATTTTGGGGTACAACAAAGCGTAAGTAGAAAATTGAATCAGAAGAAGAAGGCGGAGTATAGAAATGAGTGCATTCCTGAGATTTGACTCTTTGGATCTCTTGTTTTCGCTATAACATTCGAAGAGCCGTCAGAGCGACTGTGACAGGTAGGTGTTCATTTCTTCTTCACACTTTTGTGTATATATTGTCGTAAATGTGTCTGATCAGCGGAGAAACGAGGTTGAGAGCATGAGGAAGATCGTTGATGACTGCCAAAGCAGATTGAACGAATGAAACGAAGACGCGCAAGTGATGAAAGGATGAGTGAAAGAGGAGAAGGAAATAAGGTGATACTTAAAAGTCATGGCAGTGAGGTAGTGTCACAGTGAAGAGGATGGCAAGGTGAAGATTGAAAGAGGTGAACGGAGGTTGGAAGAAGATAGAAGAAGATCTTGTTTTGAGATTCTGAAGCGGCACAATTTTTAACCCTGATCCAAAACCCCAAACGCACTGTTTTTTTTTTTCATTTTTGGTTATCTCATTTTATTCTATTCAATGTCAATAGGAGATGATAATAAAATGTTGAAAAAGGTATCGTTGAAAATAAAGTCTTGTTGGACCGGGTGTAGCATGGACCGGACTCCCTTTGCCTAAGCCCATTAATGGTTTTTCGAGCCTGTAACTTGATCAAAAAAACCACTCTTGGACCGTACTGTTTGGGCTTAATGCCCAACTTGTTATACATGCCCCCTGGATCTGGAACACACCACCCCCTAAGTCCATCAAAAGTTTTTTTTGTGAAGCCTTGAAGAACTATAATGAAAAAGCTTCATGGACTTGGCTTAGCACCAGAATTTGGATTGCTATGTAGCAGCATTGTGTGCATATTGCACCCCTTTTTTTATTAGTTGCATTTTTGTTTAGATATTTTTTATAATTGTTTTATTTGAGTTTCTTTACATGATAAAAAATAATAAAATTAAATATAAAAATTTGTTAGATTTTTTATTTTGATTTTAGGAATTAAAACTCGATTATCTGGTTACTTGAGATTGGTAATTCACCTTTGCTTGTTGAGAATTGAGTCTTATGCAAGTTTATTGTGTAATATGCGTATATGCTTGAGATTTTGATTGTGATTTATTTTCACATCGATGATGCTTCGACACTTTTCCCGAGCATTTGGTTTCTGAATATTTTCTTTGCTTGGTGAAGCTTACTCGAGGTTTTCCGAGTTTCGTTGCTTTACTTTCCATGCTACGAACTTTTGTTCGTTTGGTATTTTCTTCGTTTTCTCATTCCATAATTTTATCGCTTTCTAGAGATCATGTATAGTAGGGGAATTTATCGCTTTCTAGAGATCATGTGAAGTAGGAAGCAGGAAATAAAAAGTGTGCGCTCGAAGTCGTTGTTTAAAGTCTTGTAGCAGGCACCACTTTCTGTATGTTATTTGTGTTTGTTTAAAATCCTACCTTTGAAGTAGGTGTTATGCATGTGTGTTTACATTTGTGCCTGTATTATATTACAGATGATAAGTCCTCAAAATAAGGAAAGCGGGGAGGGTTCACAATCGATCCCCGCACATTCCAGTCCGTGTCATCCTTAGCTCACGTTGTACATCGATGCTTCAGAGTTGTGCAGATCATGGTTATCGAGTCGTCTAGTGGAAAAGGGATCTGAAATCAATCCCCCACATTTTAAATTGAGCTTACGTTGGTCGATGTTGATGATTCATGCTCTTTTCTTCTATCCCGTCCCCACTTGTTTGCCTCGATTTATATGACCCCTTGGCTAAAGCACCCCTACTGATTTTATACCTACCTTGATCTTCTATATCATGGTTAGGAATTTAACTTGAGATATCATGTGCTTCTCATGACATATTGTGTGTGCTCTCTTGAGCTTATTAGCTTGCTTGCTTGATTCATCTTTGTGTGCATGTTTTGAGATGATATACCCTCGACATGTTCCATTAGGAGATCTTGATTCATCTATAGATGATGATTCGAGATAGACATGGTTTTAGGTGATAGACACTTGCTATGCTCCTTTAGTACTTCTTGATTCATCTATACATGATAATTTGAGATATACATTAGGATTATTATCCAAGCATGTCAACATAGGGTAGAGATTTCCCTTTAAAACTCAACTTTAGGACCATCCTTGTATAATAACATTAAGGATGGATAGGTTAGTCCCCCTTAGGTGTTTTTCTTTCTTTTGCATCCTTCCATTAAAACTAAAACTATTTTTCTTGGAAAACCATAAAACATATAATAACTTTCAAATTCGTATTTAAGGTAAAAACTATCAACCAATGCAAACTCTTTTGCGCCTTCGGGCTTTTCTTTTAAACTTTTTTAAAAGAACATGTTAATTCACTTTTGTGCTGACGCATAAATCTCCAAAGGTAGAGTTGCGACAGAAGGAGAAATTAAGATTGTTGATTAAAAAAATACAAAACCAACAAAATATTTTGAGCCGAACTGCGGCTGCTCTGATTCCTTAAAAGGGACACGTAGACATTGGGGTAGGGCCCGAACGAGCATAACTTTTATTTTCCCTACATTATTTTCTCTTCTCTTTTGCATGCATTCCCTATACAGCTTAGATATAGATTATTACACACCCTGAGATAGACAACAAGAGTGGATACTGTAGAGTACTACGGGCGTGTGAATGTTGATACCTTCCCCTCGCATAACAGACTCCCTTACCCGATCTCTCAGTCGCAAGATCGTGACTTCTCTCTTCTCAGGTTTAGTCAATGCTTACCTTTCCCTTCCTGTGGGATAAAAAACGTTCGATGGCGACTTCATTGATTTCATCTCGATAATTTGTTCAGCTGGTTGTTTCATTATCCATTGAAGAACCATTTGACGGAGGGTCAACCCTTAAACCCTAAGTTAGATGGTGAGATGGATGCAATTGTGTTATCACCTACAATATGAACATTCAAAGAAACATATAAACATATTTTGATGTTAGTTAAAAGTTAATCCAACTAAAAAAACACATGTACAAGATACACAATTCAAGGTGCTTGGTGATCCATCAAGAGCACACTTAAAGATAGGATAAAGTAAAAGGGAGAATGAACCCTAATGTGTGATATTTATGTATTGATAATATGATATGATAAGAGATCTTAGGGGAAAATTTTTGGGTATAACAGTGATTGGATGCCTTTTTTAAGCGTCTGGCTTCGTTGGTTTCTTCGGGTAGGATCCCTTGTGTTAGGTATTGTATTATCGGGGCCATTCATTCGATAATGTGCTCAATTGACATGGCCTCTTCCTGCTTGATGCTTGGCCTTTCTAAGATCTTTTGTATCACTATTTTATTCAGTCATGATCCCTTGGTACTGGCGAGTCGGGCTAGTAAATTAGCTCATACATTCTCTTTCATGGAAATGTGATTAACCTCAAATTCTACGAAGGTATTTGACAGCCCCTGCGTTATCTGGAGGTATTTCAACAATGTTGAGTCCCTTGTTTGGTACTCCCCTTTCATCTGTGAAGCGATCAGCAAAAAACACAGAGCCGCCACGGAACTTTATTTATCCATAAGGAAGGGGAAATATTTAGAAAACCCCAAGAGGATGGATAAGATGGTCTTGCGATTAAAAAAGAGAGTACGGAAGTCAATTATGCAAGGGAAAGGTATTAGCACCCCTCACTTCCGTTGTACTCAACTAGATCCATTTTGATTATTTATTTCTAAGGGTGCGTCTATCTAAAACTATACTTGCTAAGGGAAATGAAATGGTTTTTATTAGTGCTTTTGTGAGGGTCTTACAACCCTTTTCCTATGTATCCCATGAAGGAATCTGAACACCGTACTTCTTCTAGAAAATGTTGGTTTGTTGGTGTTTTTTAGTGGGCGACATTAGCGCACGCATTCTAGCAATAGGCACGACCTATATCGCGGTAGAACGGAGATAACATACCCTTTTGAAGAAATATTTGATTTGTTGAGTGTTTTTGTTAAGTGTGGAATGAGTTTGAATAATGATTAAGTGTTTTTTTTTGGAGTTTTGAATAAGGAAATATTTTTTTGTTTTAATTAGGAAATATACGATGCAAAAGAAAAGTCTAAGGGAAACGTCTACCCTAATGTTATCATGCAAAGTGGACCTAAAGTTGAGTGTTTGAAAGGGAATTTTCTAACCTAATTAGTTATCATGCATAGGTTGATCTTAAAGTCTACTTCAACATGAAACGATCAACATGAATTTAATCGATTCGGAGAATCACTTAAGGGAACATGTTATCAAGATTAACCAAGAAATCAAACAAAAATAAAGAAATTAAGTTCTTAACATTTTTTATGATTTTTATCAAGTAAATAAAATAAAGTAAAAGAATTAAAACTCAAATATTTTTTTTTTGTGTTTAAAAAGAAGAAATTAAACCAAATTAAAACAATGATGTGAATAAAATTAAGAAGAGAAAAAATAAGGGAGATGGGAAAGAAAACCAAAAATGGTCCCTATGAGTATTGAACCCGGAAACATTGATTTGAAACTCTTAAGTTTTACCAACACAACCAATATGCTTGAATTATTAGTAGGCTAAACAGAAAACTAAAAAAAACTAAACAAATGGATAGATGGGCTTTAACGAAAATGGGTCGGGTTAAGGGAGGCCCAAATAGAAGTTTGAACTAGAAGAAACCCATGGTAGCGAACAATAACAACATGTTTATAAGAAAATAAGCAGACTCACACAGTTCTAGCGATTCGCGATTTCGACAAAAGCTTTTACTCAGGTGAACTTGAATTCCTTTCACTTTTTCTGTCAAGTTCGTGAACTGTTGTTTTTGTTGAAATTTTGCTCGCTGCTATTTCTTCTGATATGTGTGTAATTTATGTTGGATTTTGTTATGTGCCATCGTGCAAATATGTTAATGCAAAGCTCAATGGTGTTAGACTACTACTGTGAAAATTGTTGCATTGACATTGATACTGGGTTGCTGGTTGAGGAAGGGTTTAAGCTTTATGAGGATGGAGTTGATAAAGATAGTAGTGAGGTATGATGGAATGAAAGTTTTTTTTTGTTGAGATTTTTTTCTATCAAATTGTTGGTGTTTGAGAGGATTTGGCCAGAATTTTATGAATGGTTGTTTTTGAATGCGTTTCCTGCTTGTAGTTGGTGAAGATCGCAGAGGTTAAAGGAATGATTGAAGAAGGTTTTTTGTAAAGGGGTTTCTTGGTTATTATGCAGATGAGTGAACTGATGTCGGGTGAGTGTCGAAGGATTTTTTAAGTTTTGCAGTAGGTTGAGGATATTTGTAAGGGTGGTTGCATAAAGGAGTCTTGGTGTGAGGTTTGGGGTTGTGAGCATTTGTGATTTATCAGTAGTGAGGTTTTGATTTTGTTGCAGGTGCTTGAGTAGGGTATTGAAGGTTGAATGGTGAATGGGTGGAGTAAGCAATTGTAAGGATTGAACACTTTTGATAACCTGATTTGTAGCTTTTGGATGCATGTTATGTTTTGCTGAATTTATGTAATATTTTGGACATGTTTGCAGCAGGTTGATGCAGGGCTAGTCTTGGATTGTTGTGGGCAGCGTATGACTGTTTTGAAAGCAAGGCATTTGGACTAGTTTTGGTTGTATGTGGCAGCAATGAAAGGTTTTATGCACAACAACAGAATGGACAACAATTGGCAAGGAACCAAGTTGACATTTCATGGAGATTTATGGCATATCATTGTATTACTTTTAGGGATTTATAATTTTTTAATGTTATTCTCAATATCTAATGTAGAACATAAAGAATGATTGGACATATTTAAATCGAATTGAATCGTAGATGTTTCATTTGAAATACTTTGGATAAACATTGTAAATTGAACATGTTTCTCTCATCTTTTCCTTTTGTTCCAAGTTTCAACATGATGCCTTGAATCTTTTTTGTAATATGAATGAACCATGACTTGAAATCCTTGTAATATGAACCACGACTTGTAATATGAATGGGATTGTTTGATGCTTGAATAAAATTAATGGATGAACTCTTTTATAACAAGCTTGAATGGAATAATGAGACTTTCAAAATTCAAGAATTACATGTTTCCTTTATTTTCCAATTAGCTTTCCAAGATTTGAATTCAATATTTGTATATCATCTACAATTTCATAGGAACTTGTATTCAAAACAAACTCATATGCCATGCCCCACTCAAATGAACATTAATTTCCAAAATTGAATTTAACCTGTCGTGTGAAGTTAAAAAGCATAATTTATACGCTAAGCAATTGCTCCCAAAGCCTTGTATCTCAAACCAAGGTTGATTGGAGAAAGTATCCATGAATTCATGTCTCCTATCTTGACCAATGTTTTATAACTCAGGCAACTAGAAGCAGGCTCCTATCACAAGAAAACCTTAGCCATGATGCATATTAAGTGATGATCTTGGTCGAAGCTCTAATCGAAACTGAAGAATGCGAGCTTAAGAAAGTGTATCATGACCCATGAACCATAGAAAAATCTTCTTTTCTCCAGTCCAGCCCTTGATAAGAATTCCAGTTGAATAACTTATAGTGCAAGTAGTTCATGGAAGATCTCAAGTGAACTCAAACCCAACTTATGAAGAAATAGTCCCCTAATGATTAGAAGGACAAAACCCTAAAACAGTCTCAGTCGAAACATCTTTGGTGAAACCCTCAAAACCAAAGTTTCTAAACCCCATTCTCAGAAGAAATAAAGATTCAGCCTTTATTTGATAAAGAAGCCCAAACTAAAGTGAAAGCCTAATTCGTACCAAACACTGCTTCTTGATCTCATGCCTTATTGAATGAAGAGGTGATATGTGAATGACCTAATGAAAACAATGAAAATGAAATGCAAATCCTAAGCCAGATAAAAGTGAAAAGGTAAGACAAATTTGGGGTATGACAATCTGCCCTACAATCAATTGTGAATTAGTGTTTGCGGCTAGATGGGTGATTCCCACCTCCTTAGCCAATTTCATTCTTACTATGAGGGCTTCGTATTCCGCTTGATTATTGTTAGCCTGAAAGTTGAAGCTTAAGGAGTACTCCAATACAAAGTTATCGGGTCTTTCAAGGATGACCCTGACCCTGCTTCCTTTAAGGTTAGATGAATCGTCAACATGAAGAGTCCACTTTCTTGTATTTTCTTCGGGTATTAGGTCACTTAGTTCCACCATAAAGTCATCTAGGGTATGTGATTTTATGCTGGTTCTCAGAGTGAATTCAATATCATATTCTGACAACTCCAAAGCCCATGTGACCATCCTTCCGACTAGATCCGGCTTCTTCAGTATCTGCTTGATGGGGTAATTAGTCCTCAGGGTTATTGGATGACCCTGGAAGTAATGTCTTAGTTTAAGGGTTGTTATTATCAATGCTAGTGCTAGCTTCTTAATCTTCTGGTATCGTAGCTCGACTCCTTTCAGAACCTTGATAACAAAGTACATCAACATTTCCCCCTCTTCCCCTTCTTGGACGAGTACTAAGCTCATGGCTTTCTCAAAAACCTTCAGATATAGGACCAAATGTGCATTCTCTTCTAGTCTCGTCAAGATTGATGGAGAGGACAAGACGCATTTTACTTCTTGAAAGGATTCCTCACATGCTGTCGTCCATCAAAATTATTTCGAATTCCTGAGGGCCGCGAAGAAATGGATCGCCCTATCTCCGTAGCATGACAGAAATAAAGAAAAAGCGGATAAGCTTCCCGTTATTTATTGTACATCCTTTTTTGAAGACATGCTACGCATGTCGATGATCGCTTGACACTTGTCCGAATTAGATTATATCCCACAGTTAGTGAGAATGAACCCCAAGAACTTGTCGGCTTAAACTCCAAGGATACATTTGTTTGGGTTGCGTTTCATGTCGTACTGTCTTATGGATGTGAACGTTTCTTTCAAGTCTGTTACATGTCATTTTCCAGCAGTGGTTTTGACGACTATATTGTCTACGTACACTTCTAGGTTCCTGCTGATTTGAGTGGTGAATACCTTATTCATTAATCGTTTGTAGGTGGATCTTGCGTTCTTGAGACCAAACGAAATTACCTTGTAATAGTAGTTTCTCCAGTCAATTATAAAGCCAATCTTTGGTGCATCGGTCGGGCTCATACAAATTTTATTGTGCCCTGAGTAGGCATTCATGAAGCTGAGGAGTTTGTACCCAGAGGTTTCCTCAATGAGTCGATATATCTGTAATAATAGGTACGGATCCTTGGGCCATGCTTTGCTAAGATCCATTAAGTCAACGCACATGCGCCACTTTCCTATTTTCTTTTTTACCATCCCCACATTGGCCAGCCAGGTAGGATATTTGACTTCTTTGATGAAGTTGGCATCGAGTAACTTCTCGACCTCGTATTTTATGGCCTTCTTCTTTTCTTCTCTGCCTTTCCTCTTCCTCTAAGATATTGGCTTGGATCCGGATTCAAGGCTAAGTGATGGCACATGAAGTTGCGGTTTATCCCCGGCATATCTGAAGGTTTCCATGGAAATAAGTTTATGTTCTCTTTTAATAGCTCCACGATATTTGTTTCTTCTTCCAGAGAAAGATTTCATCCTATGTAAGTTATTTTACAGGGTATGGGGCCAATCTGGATCCTCTTTGCTTCATAAAGAGGAGAAATGCTTTCTTCCCGCGTATCACCCTGAGGATTTATGTCAATCATGTTGATTTTCATTTCATTGGACCATATGGGTTCTTCGAATTTTATCTTCTTCTTTAACTTCAGGCTATTCTTATAGCATTTCCTAGCCAATCCTTGATCGTTTTTAACCACCCCAACCCGACCGCCCCATAAGGGGTACTTCATAGTGAGGTACAAGGTAGATGGAGTGGATTCTAAGGCATTGAAGGAGGGTCTTCCTATAATGACGTTATAGGGTGAGACAACATTGATGATCAAGTACCTTACTCTGAAGGTTTTAGCATTTGCACCGCTTCCAAAGGTAGTGAGTACTGGGAGGTGTCCCAATACTTGTACTTGTTCTCCAGAGAACTCGACCAAGGTTCTATTGAAAGGTAACATCTCGGACGTATCGAATTCTATTCCCTTTAAGGCTTCCCAATAAAGTACATCGGATGAGCTGTCGGGGTCCACTAGCACCCTTTTCACGCACCAATCCCAGATTTGTAACTTGATGACCATATGATCATTTTCGTGGGCCATAATGCCGACCGAATCTCTTATGGAGAAGCTAACCAGGTTGAGGTCTTGTTCCTAGACCTTGGATATGTCCACAGACATGTGCATCACGGCACAAGCTTATTTCCTTCTAGCTGAGCTGGTTCCTCCGCCGCCAGCGAACCCGCTGACGATGGTGTTGAGGGTGTGGCGAGCTGTTTTGGTCTCTTGCATTTCTTCAATACCCTTCCCCTTATTTTGTGAAGGTTCCTCCGGGTCCATCTCTTTTTGTCGATCATCTTTCTTGTAAGCTGGGGTTTTTCCATCTTTAATGTAAGTCAGCAGGTTCCCCCTTTGTATCAATTTCTCGACCTCTTTCTTTAGTTGGAGGAAATCATTAGTGTGATGTCCCCGGAGCCAATGATAATTACACCAAGCCCCAACATCACTCCCCAGTACGGCATCAACTCTCCATTTATGGGGCTCTTCCAGGATCAAGTTTAGGTGTGCTACCTCCTGCAAGATTTTGCCTGTCCTTGTGTTTAAGGGAGTTCCTGCGTCGCTTGAATCAAAGGGACATCAACTAGGTCTCTGAGTTCTACGTTCCCGGGGCCTGTATCTCGAGGTCACCCGGGAAGATTCATGTTTCCTTCTCGGCCCTTCTTCTTTGGTCTTTCTTCTCTCCGGGGCATCCCTGTACTATTTTTCCAAGTTTCTCTCTTCACCTTTTATTTAGCATTCCGCCCTGGTAATGATTTCGTTCATGTCGAATACGGGATTTTGAGCTAAGGATTCATTGAACTATCATGCTCAGAGGCCGTGTTGGATTGCTCCAACGAACATCTCTTGATTTTGATAAGATACTTTGATGGTCTCTTCATTGAACTAGGATAAGTATTCCTGGAAAGATTCTGCTTGACCTTGCCAGACGTTAAACAAGGATGTTGTAGACACCTTATGGTTCTTGTTGGCGGAGAAGTGCTGGATTAACTTCTTCGTTAGGTCCAGGTAGATTTCCTAGGATATTCATGATATGCTCATGTACCATCGCATGGCCATACCCTTGAAGGTGTCGGCTATTAGTTTACATTTTTGTGAGTCAATGGGGCCTATTATCGTTATTTGATTGTTGATGGCAATAACGTGCTCCTGAGGATCAATTCTACCGTCGTAGGATGCCAACAATGGTGATTTTAAGTTCTATGAGACTTGGTCGTCATATATAGCTTGGGATAGAGGTTAAGATTCCAGAAGCTCCTCTTTTGGATCGTCATCCCCTACACTTCTTTGTTGTAGGTCTGTGATGTTGTCCTGCAGAGTTTTGTTCTACTGCCTGAGGGCCTCCACCATGGCTAGTGGTTGTGCCATATCTATGGGGTCTCTAGGTGACGACATTCTGCAGAAGGTGAATTGAGGTGTGGCCTAGGAATAATCTTACCAAGGCCCCACGGTGGGTGTCAATGTTCTTGTGTAGAACAAATAT